AGATGATAAGATTCTGTACTTCAAGCTGATGCTGTAATAAGATGAGACTTGGGGGATCTTGGGAGGGGGTGGGTGTGTTTTGCATATGGGAGGGGTTTGAATCAATGGGAGCTGGTCTCCAAGGCACTCCCAAATGATTCTTGTTTTCTAGTTTGGGATTCATTCTCTTGTGTAGGTTTCTCCCACACGGAATAGGGCTGACAAAACTAGGTCATAAAAGACCTCGAGACCTCCACCTTGCTCCCTCTGGAATTCATTTGCTTAGGTGAAGCTGGCTGCCATATGATGAGGACACTCAAGCAAACCTATGGAGAGGCCCAAGTGACAGGCATCAGATGTTTCCAGCCAATAGCCAGCACGAACTTGCCAGCCATATGAACAAGCTTTCTCAGAAATATATCCTCCAGACTCATTTGTGCCTTCAGATCACTACAGCCCCAGCTGACCTGACTGTAACCTCATGAGAGACCCCATGACAGAACTACCCAGCTAAGCCACTCCTGAATTCCTGACCCACAGGAACTGAAAAATGTTTATTTAAATTGCTAAGTTTTGGAATAATTTGTTACAGAACAATAATCAAAACACTCCATACTTTCCCCACTGATTTTTGGTGTCCTCATTGTAAATATCAGCTCTCATAATATACGTTAGTCTGTTTCCAAACTCTATTGTGTTTCATTGTTTTTGTTTGTTTCTGCACCAAAGCCACTGTTTTCATTATTACGGCTTTGTAGAGTATTTTAATATGTGGTATGGTTGGTCTTTCCTCTTGGCTCTTTTGAAAAATTGATGTAAATGTTAGTAGACTTTTATTCCGTATTAATTTTAGAAAAAGTTTTATGGGTGTCTCAAAAACCTTTTTGGAATTTGTATTAGAGTTGCACATCTAGTTTTTAGATTGGGGGAGGTGAGAGGAGTTTTGGCATGAAGATTCTAGAAGACAGAGAAAAAGAAGCCTATGTGTCTGGTTCTAATTCTGCCTCCAACCTTCCACCAAGCCAGGTTTACTCATTCAACAGATACTTACTGAGCATCTCTTGTATACGAGACACTTACCACCTAGATGGGAAGAGACAGACCATAGGCTATATAGACCAAAAACAGAAAACATGAGGAACTGAACTGATAAAAGTAGCGGAGGCTGCTTTAGCCAGGACCAGACCAGCACCCTCTGAGGGGGCACTATCTGTGTTGAGATCTGAATGGTATGGAGGAGCCAGCCCCACAACAACTGAGTGCAGACAGTTTCTGGTAGTGGGAAGAGCGAAGGGCTAGGTGGGCATAAGCTGGATGTGCTACACAAAGGCCATCAGTGAGGGAGAAGGGTTGGGACAAGATCAGAGATGTTGGATGATGGAGAGCCTTGTGGACAACTAAGGAGTCTGGATTCCGCGCCCCCCCCCTCCCCCCGCCAAAAGGCAGCAAACAGCTTTTGAAGGCTTTTAAGTGAGTGAGTGACCTTTGGTTGTGCTGTTAACCACCTTCCGCTTCTTCTCCAGCAAAAAAGGGAGAACCTGTCCCCGCTGTGCCTCATCCCCATGGTGACATCTCCCCAGGAGGAGCAGCAGCTCCTGGCCAGCACCTCCAAGGTGAGGCCCCTGAGCCCTGTAGGGTGGAGGTTGGGGGCCTCTCCCTGCAACTTGATCCCCACCCTTCTCCATCCTCTCTCCCTTAACAGCCCGTGGTGAAGCTTCTGCACAACCGCAGTAACAACAAGTACTCCTATACCAGGTGACCACCATGGGGGTAGGGAGGTGCACTGGGTTGAATCCTGGGCTTAAAACAGCCCTGCTCCTGGCCCAAGGGGAGGGCTGTGGCCATACAGAGGGACAAAAAAAGTGCCTGCCTGCATGGGAATTCCAGCTCTGCCACTTACCCACTGGGTACTCTGGACAGGTCATTTTCACTTCTGAGCATCAGTTTTGACAGTAAACTGGGGTTCAGGTCAGGATTAGATGATAATGATTAGCATTTACTAAGTGCTTATTTTATAATAGGCATTACTTACAAGTGCTTTAAACATATTAAATCTCATAGTTCTCACAATTGTTTGAGGGAGGTACTGTTGTGATCTCCATCTTATAGCTAAGGAAATTGAGGCACCAAGAAGTAAAGTATAACATGCCTAGTTTCACCCAGTTAAAAAGTGGTGGAGCTAGGATGCCAGGAGATGCAGCCTGGCCCCAGAGGCTGCACAGGTAGCCATTCTGCTGTGCTGGGATTTGCCCAGCAAATGTTAGGTCCTTGCTAAGGCCTGCTTGGCCTGGCCCTAGGGGTGGAAGAAGCTCCCTGCTGGGTACCAAACCCATGGGCGGGACCCGAGCCTTGGTATGTGGGCCCTGGTTTGGGGGAAACAACGGGAGGGAAGCCAGTTGTGCTGAGGTCTGCTGGGCCCTGGTCTTCAGCACTTCAGATGACAACCTACTTAAGAACATCGAGCTGTTTGACAAACTGGCTCTGCGCTTCCATGGGCGGCTGCTCTTCCTCAAGGATGTACTGGGGGACGAGATCTGCTGCTGGTCTTTCTACGGGCAGGGCCGCAAAATCGCCGAGGTGTGCTGCACCTCCATTGTCTATGCCACGGAGAAGAAGCAGACCAAGGTCAGAAGGGGTTCAGGGCCTGGTCAGGGAGGGCTATAGTGGTTGGCAGGACCAGGACCCTAAACAAAGGCAGTGCAGCAAATCAGGTCGGGGAAAGTCCATCACTGAGAGACAGGAGCAGAGTTCCAAGTTCTGGGGTCTTAACTGTGTAAATCATGATGTCATGCCATCTAGCCTCTGCCTGGTCTCTTCTGACCTTCATATGATGGATGTGCCTCCGATACACTAGGTATCTTGCAAGTCTCTAAGTACCCAGTACTATTTCATACCTCCCCAACTTTGCACACACTGTTCCTTTTTCTTGGGATTATTTTTCCTCATCCCTCTCTGCCTAATGAACTTGTGCTTAATCTTTAAGACCCAAGCCATACATCGCTTTCTTTGGGACACCCTCCCTCATGAACTTTCACCTCAACAACCTCAAAGCTTGTCATACTTCTTTCTTAGCTAAATATGGTGGTGTAGTGTGGGGATGGTGAGGGTGGTGAGGGGGGTTAACTTTAGTAGTAAGGTGTTAGCTCCTTGAGGTTAAGGCTGCATCTTTATTTTTTCCTATCTTTCTAGCACTAGTGGAGGCTAGTGGAAGAGTCTATTACACAGTGGAAGCTAGGAAACATTATGGAATGCATGAACCCAGCTTCCAAGAAGCTGCCTCTGTTACTGTGAGGACAGGAAGATTAACCAACAATTAGAATGCAGCTTGTTAAGAGTTATGTTAGTTAAATGACTCCAACCCACAGAAGAGGAACCCCCAGTCACCTCTTTGCTTCATCCCTTCTACTCTCTGCATCACCCCATGTCATTGCATTGGCCTTGCTGCTAATGTTCAAATAATACACTAAGCCCACTCCTGCCCCAGAGCTTTTACACGCTTCCCAGACTGCTCTTCCTCTACTTACCCACGTGACTCCCTCCCTGCTCTCCTTTGGCCATTGATCAAATGTCATCTTCTCAGTAGGTCTTCTCTAAACTTCCTCTTATAACATTCCCGGCCATGGCCATCCCCACCCCTTTTCCTGCTATAGTTTTTTTCTATAACATTTGTTATCATCTGACAGTTTATATTTTATTAAGTGTATGTCTGTGTCCTCCCCCTAGAATGTAAACTTTCCATGGATAGAAACTTCATTTTGTTTGCTGCTATATCCCCAGTGTCTGCAACACCTTGTACAGTGCAGTCATTCAGTAAATGTTTGTCTATAGAAAAAATACACCAAGAGACTTAGTAGCAAGGAAGAGAAAACAAGTAACTGCCTGACTTCAGAGCTGGACCTTGAATTATAAGTGACTTTGCTGAGTAAAGAAGTTGCAAAGAGGACAGTCCAGTCCAAAGAACCTGTGATTGCAAAGGCTCAGAAGTGTGCCAGTGCAGGAGCAGCTGGGAGAAGGGGGTGGTTCTGTGACTGGACCATAGGGTGGGAGCTGTGAGTTGCTGGCCTTTTGCAGGTGGAATTCCCAGAGGCCCGGATCTTTGAGGAGACCCTGAACATCCTGATCTACGAGACTCCCCGGGGCCCAGACCCAGCCCTCCTGGAGGCCACAGGGGGTGTAGCTGGAGGTGGTGGGGTGGGCCGAGGGGAGGATGAGGAGAACCGAGAGCACCGTGTCCGCAGGATCCATGTCCGGCGCCACATCACCCATGACGAGCGTCCTCATGGCCAACAGATTGTCTTCAAAGACTGATTTTGACTTTGCTCCCTGTTTTCCTCCTGCCACTGGGACCCAGTCCCTCTTTCTTTTCCCTCCTCCCCACACCTTTGCCCCGGCTTTGCTGGCCAAGTCGTGGGTCTCCCTTCTGTCCTTTTATTGCATGGTATATAGCTCACTTTGGCCATTTTCCATTCATTCCCACTGCATTGCTAATAACACAGTACATTCCGGGCCCTTCCCTCAGTCAGAGCCCTTCAGAAGGCCTACATCCATTTCCTCATCACCATTTTTTGCCCAGCTGTTTTCCCTTACCAGCTGGTTTAAAATGATTTAGAATTCCCTTTCTCTTTTTTGGTACATTATCCATGCCAAAGTGTCAAGCCAGCCCTTAATAACACCCATCACGTTCTGAGCTGCCTCCCAACCATTGTGCGGGGAGTTTGACTCCTTCTTTCCTTTGCCTTTCTCCCAACCTCTTTAACTTTGTGTTAGGCTGGCCTGGGCCTGCACCAGCTCAGCTATCTTCTCAATCTGTTTTGTATTATTTATTATTTTAATTTTCTATTAAATTATTGGTATAAAGTTGAGTTGAGGATCTGGTGCTGACTCCCAGGATGAGGGCCAGAAAGGCACCTATCTATTTGGATGGGAGAAGACATACGCCCCTGCCCTAGGGCTGGTAGCTGGGAAAAAAGTAGTCAGGAATTCGGACAGGATTTAAGATCTGTATTTCAATGTTCCCTAGCCAGTGCCCTCCCTCAGCCCCGCCCCAACCCCTGCAATGGAGAGGAGGTCCTGGCTACCACTCAAGCCATCCCTGAGTGCAGCATCTCCAACCCAGATGTCTGAAGGCAACACCTTCATTCAAGGGTCTGGTGCAAAGACAAAGTCGAGGGCCTGGCGCTCGGCCCCGGCCACGTTGGGATGCCAAAGGTCCACGATGAAGACCACTCGAGGCCCATCTTCCGGGGAGCCTAGGGTACATGGGTAAGGAGACAAGAGAGTAGCTGACATTGAGTACTTATATGCCAGAACACTCACCAAATACTCAAAAGAGCAAACACTTTGTAAGTAAGTGCCAAGCACTGATCTAGCCCCTTATATGCATTAACTCTTAATCATCACAATAAACTATGAGATAGTACCATAATTATTCCTATTTTATACAGAGTAACTGAGGCACAAAGAGGTTAAATAACTTGCCCAAGTTCACACAGCTAATAAGTGCCTGATGTGTATGTTGTCTGAAAGAGAGGTTAGCGCTCCCCTTAACAAAGGTGAAAGAGTCCCTCAGGCCTGACAACACATATGCAGTTAAGGCATTGCCACCTACTTGGTGGCATCTAACCATGTAAGTGCCAGAAGTAGCACAGGAACCCTGGTGGTCCAGGCCCTGGGGCTTGTGCTGTTAAACACTTTGAACCTACGTTCATTTATTTAATCCTTCAATCACCTTATCAAGAAGGCAGTTTTCCCGTTTCACAAGTGATTGTAAAAGTTATATGACTTGTTCAAGTTTATACAGCTGGAAAATGGTGGTGCCGGGACAGCACACCAGTGGGCCTGATTCTGCAGCCTCTCATCTACTTCCCTTCTCTCTTAGTCCCTTGTCCCTCCTAGCAGAGCAGGAGCCCCATTACCATTATGAGCCACTGTGTGCAGGAAGGAGTCATCCACCAGGAGACAGTGTCCCTCAGCCCAGCACTGGGGCTCACCCCCAACCACCAGCTCACAGCCAGGGGGGATCTTCAGACCTGTGGAAAAAGACCCAGGCATACCAGGTTCTATGGCGGTTCCTCCTCACTCTCTGGAAGGTGACTTGAGTACAATTATAAAACAATGCTGGCTCAAAGAAGTGCTAGGAGATATAGGGAAATGCAGTGCACAGCATGATCTGTTCTGCTTCAGAGAAAAGGAAAGGCTTCTTGGAGGAAGTGGTGACTCCTCCTGGGCTTCCAACAACTCAAGACCCTACTGTGTGCTGGGCCTTCCCTCCCTGCAAGATATAAAACTAATGACACCATCCTTGCCCAGAGACCACACAGTCAAGTAATGTGAGAAAACTGAGCATCCACTTCAAATGATAAGGAATAAGAAGACCTCCCAGAAGAAGCGTAACACTTTAAGTTATGAGTCCTGAGGGCTAAGTAGGAGTTTCCCAGGAGGTGATAAAATGATGACAGGTAAAGACATTTTAGTTTAAGAGTATAGCATGAGTGTGGTGTCTGCCAGGATTGGTCAGAAAGCCTTTATTGTTCAGAGCATGGTGGGAGGGAAGGCAAAGAAAGGAACAGTTGGGAGATGAGGAGAGAAAAGATCTGGGTCTGATCCTGAGGCCAGTGTGCTTCAAGTGGAGGATACATCCAAATGGTAGTACAGGAGACGATTTTAGGTAAAACAAGGTCATGGAATTAATCAGAAAATCATTTTCCATTTTCTCTCAATCTTTAAAACATCAAAAAGAAAAACCTCAGTTTGGTGTTACCATGACATTAAAACCCCCACTAACATTGCTCCCTTCTAAATGAAGAGTGTAGGCTTCAGTCCCGGAGAGACTGTTTAGCCAGAATTTTTAAAGCCTTTTCTAAAAAGTTTAAATTTGTTTTCATGAGTATTTTCCATTTAGGACAAGTAATACTGATTATCGTTGTTCTATAAAGATTCCTTTTAAATAAGTAAAACAAACTATGGAGGGGGGGAGTCCATATGAAGAAATATAGTGCAGGTGGTAAATGACTATGGCAAAGCTTAGGAAGATGGTTTGCAGATAACTGAAGCTCAGGAAATGCTGCTGCTCTGGGAAACAGGCTGTCATGAGAGATTTCTGAGAAGAAGCATGAACAGAACCACAGTGTAGAAAGCTCTGGTGGCAGAAAAGAGAGGCAAGGAGGTTGTGTGCAGGCATCATCTACTTACCCAGATGGCATCTGACCCGGGCATTGGTGGGCCCACAACGGCCCTCAAGCCGGGCGCCCGGAAGGAGGACAGAAAAGCCAGCATTGCCAAAGGTGTTGGCGCTCATGAAGCTCCGCAGCCCCCTCAGTGCCCGATAGGCCCTGGGGCACCGGCGGCAGTTGTTGGGTTGGCACCGGCCTGCTTGATACAGCAGGAGCTGGTAGCACCCAGGAGCCAGTGGTGGGGACCAGCCCCGAGGAAGAGGGGTCGTCCCTGAGAAATCCCAGCTCACAGCCCCAAAGTCCCGCAATATAGCAGAGAAGCTGCTTTCCAGGAGCTCCACGTCATGTCGCTGGGCATCCCGTGGCACGAAGGGTGCTGAGGGCAGGTCTGGCAGGAAAAGCAAGTCTGGGCGCTGAATGCCCAGGACCCCTGGCCCTCCCCCAGGGCCTAGGCCACCCTGAGCTGCCCGCCTCACCCTACCCATCCCAGCCCAGGAGTAGCGCCTGGCGTAGGCCCGGAGGCGACGGCTCACTAGACCTTCTGTCCTAGGTCCTTCCCCAGGCTCCCCAGAGCTCCCTGGGCTTGGCTTACCAAACTCAGAGCATCCCCCAGGCCCACCACCGACACCCCCAGCCTGACTCCTAGTCCCCAGGGCCTGCATGTCTTGGGAGCCCAAGCGGTAGCAGTACCAGAGGAAAAGTGAAGTGAGGGCTCCCAGAAACAGGGTAAAGGCTGACGAGGCCAGGGGCAACGGCCATATCGGCATGATGGGAAGGGAGGCCATAGCCAAGAGGCCTGGGGCATCTTCCTGACCCCAGTTCCCCTGTGCCCCCAGGTCTTCCTCCATGGCTGCTCCCTAGTTACCCCCTGGGCTATTTCCCTTCCACATTCCCACTCTGTGTTCTGTTTCTGAGGTCTTCTCTCCACCTTGTAACTTCCCCTTTCTTTCTTTCTTCCTTCATGTACCTTTAACCTTCCTTTCCCTTTATTTCCCTCTGCCTCTCTCTCCTCTCTCTCACCTCTTCTTTCTCCTTGTGGCAGTTTCCTCTCTCACCCTCTGCCTTTCCTTTCCCCACCTTCTGTCTCCTTCTCTCCTTTCTTCTCCCTCCACCCCCACTCCTCCTTTCTCTCTTTTCTCCCGCCCCTTTCCTTCTAGCTTCCCTGGACAGCGGTTCCTACCCCACCTGGACCCGCAACCCTGGGGACCTGCAACCAGTCGTCCTCCGCGGCGGCTTCCCTCTCTCCTTCCTCCCCCTTCTCCTTCCAGCCCTCTATTATCATTCGACCCGACTGGCAGCTTCTCTGGCGTGCGCTCGCTCTTTCTCCCCTACTCTCTCCTTCCTTGGCTCCCACACACCCTGACGTCACTCTTCCCTACAGTAGTCTTCGGAGCTTAGCTACCCCAGCCCCTGCCCCAGTGGCAGCGGCAACTCAGCCAGCGGGGAAGGGGAGGTGGTCTCCGGATTTCCCTCTCCCCGGACCCCGGAGGGGCGCCGTGTGTGGCGCCAGGGGCAAGCTGCCAACCCCTAGCCGCCCCGCAATGCGAAAAGAAGGGGCGGGGCCTGGGGGCCGGACAAAACCAGGGGCGGGGCGAGTGTGAGGACTGCGGACCGGAATACCTCGGCTTGTCCTTGGATCTGCAGAACCCTGGACCAATCCGCCTGTGACTCCTCCTCCCCCTTCGCTTTCACAAGAGTCAGCCCCAGGCAGACTCCTGATTGATGGCGAAGCGGATTCAGCCAATCGCGCACGGCGCCGGGGGCGGGGCCCACACAGGCGGGGCCGGGGAGAGCTGTCCGCGCGCTGGTGGTGCTGAAAAGGGCGCTTCAGAGGCGGTGTAAGAAAGGCCAGAAATAAAAAATCAAAGTTGAAGCCCCACAAACGTGGAAACTTGACATTCTCCTAGAGGAGAGGAAAGCCCATTATACGTGAATTTCTGTTAAAACGAAGGAGAAGTCCCATAGAAGGGCCTGGATATAGGCAAGGGACACACTGGGGGGCTTAGCAGGCGCGAACCCAGCTGTACCGTTCTTCGGCACACTGGGAAGAGGAGATTCAGATTCCAGATGTTGTTGTAACGGCGGGGGAAGGGGGCCGTAAATATTGCAGGGGCCAGAGAGTTTCCTTTGCCTCCCCTAGGGGCTGCGGGAGTGAGGATTATGGTCCTGGCTCATATGGTCCCTCCTTCTTCCATCTGCACTTCCTCCTCCTCCCTCCCGCCCCCCAATAAATCCCAAGCCACTCCCTTCGCCCGTCCCCAGGATCTGACGTGGGCTCGACACCTTTCTCAGCTTCTCCCTCCCACAGCTCTAGTGCCCGAGCTTCAGCTCTCTAGGTTCTGCAACCCCCTTTCCTCCCCACCAAACCCCGCTAAAGCCCACTAGGGATCTTCCGATCCTCGACCCCACCTCAGACCCCCGGAAGCTGTCTTGCCTTTCCTCAGCTAAATCTCACCTTGGTGGACCCAGACGGCGGAGCAAGAGGGTAACCCAGGAGACCTGGCTCCTTCGCCCTCTTGGCCCTCTCGCCTCCACCCCCTGCAGCCGGAGCCGCGCCCCCTCTCCCACAGATTTGGGAGCAGAGAACGGAGAAGATTGGGCAAAGCAGGGTGGGCTTCAGGCAACCTCCCAGCCCAACTCTGCCCCTCCATCCCGAGGGGCCGAGAAATTGTCTTCTTTGCTAACTGCTAGCAGGAAAAAATAATAATAATAATTAAAGGGAAAGATAGAAGGAGACGGAGGAAAGGTGGCAGCTAGATTATTTAAGAGAGGCGCAGAGAAGAGAAATCAGTGAGTCGCCATGGGGATTCCCAAGGCCCAACACCCGCCGCCTCCCCAGCTGCTGTTCCTAATTCTGCTGAGCTGCCCCTGGATTCAGGGTAAGGACATGGGATCATGGGGGTGGGCCCATGAAGGCTCCCAGGGGGGTCCTTTAACCTCCTTTCTCTGAACACCCTGGGCCTTCCAAGCTCTTAGGGAAAGGGAGGGGGACAACTGATGGGAAGGGGCAAGTCACGGCTTTCCAGCTTGTGACTGGAGCCCCTAACCCCACTAAAGAGGAAGTGGGGAAATGAGTGAGGGCAGCTTTTAGCAGGGTCTCTGGGGCTAAATCCAGGAAGGAGAGCTGGGAAAGTTGGGGGAATGTCTGTGGAGGTGGCAGAACACGCAGAGTACCTGAGTAGGAGATGGAGATGCTGGGATGGATGCCAGGCACTGCACACACTACTGCTCTTGGATGTATGAACAAAGGCAGATGAACAGAGGCACTGCTCAGAGACCAGACACTCAGTTCCCCTCTCTGCCCCCCAGCCAGACTCCAGAGAGAGACTGCAGAGAAAGGGGGGGGGGGAAGAGAAGAGAAGAGAGGAGAGAAGAGAAGAGAATACCACACTGCAGAGACAGAAATCCAGAGAGAAATCTGGGCACTGCGGAGGCAAGGGCTGGGAGGTGCTGTCAGACCCTCCGCAGAGACCAGGAGACCACTGAGGTGAAAATGAAGGCAGCACCATTCCCCATTTTCCACCCTGCTAGCGCTGTCTAGTGTTCATTACAGCTAAGGTGCTCACTGAAGGCTTACACAGCTAGGGGGCAAAGGAGAAGAGGAAGGTACAGGATTGTAAGGGGCAGCTGGGAGCCCTTCCTCCCGTCTTAGCTCTTAGCTCAGTCTGGAACCCTATGAGCTCCTGAAGTCCCAGCTGAGAAGGGAGAATAACTCTGGAAAAGATCTTTCTGGAGAATCTAGGAGTGTGGGGCAGTGGAAGGACTCATACAACCTTATCTCTTAGGTCTGCCCATGAAAGAGGAGGAGGCACTGCTGGAGCCTGGAAGTGAGACCCCCACAGTAGCCTCGGAGGCCTTGGCCGAGCTGCTCCATGGGGCCCTGCTGAGGCGGGGCCCAGAGATGGGCTACCTGCCAGGTGAGGCTCTCATAGTGGCAGGAGTGACATAGAGGCAGAGAGAGAGACACATTAACTCAAGGAGATGGGGAGCTAGGCCAGTGAAATTCAGAGGGAGAAGATGCAGAGAGTCAAAACTGGGCATAGACAAAGAGTCAGAATAATTAAGAGACAGAGTCAGACAGAAAAACAGACAATCAGAGAAAAAGACAGATGGAATCTCAGAGAACCAGATTCAGAAAAATAGTGTAGGAGAGACACAAAAAGAGAAAGAGAGAGAGAGAGAGAGAAATTCAGAGATTAGTAGATCCCAAATTATAAAATCAGAGAGTGATAAGAATACTGATCAGAGAAATAAAGAGTTCCAGAGAGAGCAAAAGAGAGAGCTACACAGAGGAGAGGGAAAGGGGTAGCCAGGAGAGGAACCAAATCTGAGTGGGGAGGCAGAGAGAGGTGCTCCAGGAGCCTGTCAGAGTAGAAGGGCCTGATCCAGAGGTGGACAGGGGATTAGAAAGGGGAAGGGTGTCAGGCTGTGGAAGCCTTGGGAGGAGGTGGAGAGTTTGGTTGGGGAAGGTAGAGGTGGAGGGTTTCTACCCTGTGGGGAAGGTCTTTTGGGTTCAGTGGGGAACCCCCAGTTTCCTTCAGCCCTACTCCCCACCCAAGGCCCACCAATTTGCTCTTCCTGTGCCCTGACTTCTCTTGCACTGTCCCAGGAACTGATCCAGACCCCACACTAGCCACTCCTCCAGCCAGCCAGACTCTTGCATCGCCCTCCCTGCCGCGGGCCACTGAGCCAGGGACAGGACCTCTGACAACAGCCGTAACCGCTAAGGGGGGTAGAGGGGCAGGCCCCACGGCTCCGGAGCTGCTGACCCCGCCCCCAGGAACTACGGCCCCGCCCCTTTCTGGCCCCGCCTCCCCAGGCCCGCCCCTCAGGCCTGAGGGAGGAGAGGAGGAGACCACGACCACCGTCATCACCACGACAACAGTCACCACCACGGTGACCAGCCCGGGTACGGTAACTAAAAGGGAATGGGTACTGTTCAAGGGGAGTAGGATATGGATGGGGGAGACGTTGCAGGGAAGATGTGAAAGAAAGGTCTGGGTACAAGTAGAAGAGGAGCTTCATGCTTAATAACACTAAGCATTTATATACCCACACTATGTACCTTTCTATGTCTTATCCATGTTGCAGTTGGAGAAGGGAGTTCCAGGCACAGGTGGGAGAAGGAGCTTTGGATAAAGATGGTGAGGGGTGCTGGGGAGAAGACAGATAAGGACCCCCAGAGTTGCTTGGCTGGGAGGGCAAGAACACAAGTATTCGTCCAACCCTAACCACTTATATCTTTTTAGTTCTGTGTAATAACAACATCTCTGAGGGTGAAGGGCATGTGGAGTCTCCAGATTTAGGGAGTAGCACCAGCCACACCTTGGGACTCCTGGACTGCACATATAACATCCATGTCTACCCTGGCTATGGCATTGAGATCCAGGTAAGTGGACTTATGCATATGAGCATGATTGTAAAACCTTCAAGCCCTTTCCTTTGGGCCCTGGGGTGTGCACAAGTTTGACATGAGAGCTACACCACCCGTTCTTTAACTTGAATGGGCCTGTTTTCTGATATTTGGGAAGACTCCTGGAGTCAATAGCTTGGCCAGTATCACTGTAGTGTTGGACTGCCACATGCAGGGAAAAGGAAAGAAAGGGGTGGGGGACTTCAGGGGTTCCCCATCCCGGCTGACTTGCCCTGGTGGGTCTGGGTCTGGCTTCTTTAGGTGCAGACGCTGAACCTGTCTCGGGAGGAGGAACTCTTGGTGCTGGCTGGTGGGGGTGCCCCAGGTCTGGCCCCCCGACTCCTGGCCAACTCCTCCATGCTGGGAGAAGGACAGGTCCTTCGGAGCCCAACCAATCGGCTGCTCCTGCACTTCCAGAGCCCGCGGGTCCCAAGGGGCGGTGGCTTCAGGATCCACTATCAGGGTGAGGAGTTCATGGTGCTGGTGGAAGGGCAGGGGACACACAGGCACACTGACACAGGGACATCTTCGAAGCACAGGGTGAGTCAGGGACTTTTCCTCCTGACTAGCACTCTGGGGACAGAATCCTTAGAGGAGACTTGTGCATACTTATTTCACACACTTACAGACCTGTGTCTGAGTGTGCACTCATCCAAGTGACAATTCATCTATTCACTCAACAGATGTTCATCTAGTGTCCACTTCATACTGGTCCTGTGTTAGCCTTGGGGGCAGGAATGAACAAGCCACATGTAAATCTGACAAGAAAACAGAATCTAGGTAGGGAGATGAACAACTAATAGGGATGATTATAGTTCAATGACCAAGGACCCATATCTTTATGATGGAGGAATATAGGCAGAAGGAGCAAATATAAAAGGGACCTAAATTCCTCCCAAGGAATATAGGGATACCTTCTTGGAGGAGATGATAACTAAGTTGAGACCTAAAAGGTGAGTTAGCTAGAAAGGGTGGGAGGGAGCAAAAGAGGAAGGCAGATGTCTAGATAGATGAAAAAACTCACTCCAAGACCCAGAGAGGAGAAAAAATGTCAGCCCCTTGAGGAGTTGAAGTAATTCAGCATGGAGGACAGATTTGTCCTAACTGTGTGATCTGGAGCTGTGTGAGCTGTGAAAGTTACTTGACACTTTTGTGCCTCGTTGTCTCTTCTGAAAAATGGGGATTAAAATACATCCTAATATTATTAGGATGAACAAATGAGTTAATACATAGCAAGTGCTTAAAATAGCCTCTGGTACACAGTTAGTGCTCAAAAATGTCACTCATTGCTATTACAGTAAAAGCACAGAAAGGGGGAGGGGAGAGAAGTTGGCTAAGAGACCAGACCAGGAGGTAGGTTGGATTTGTATCATGAAGGGCCTTATCAGCTTCAGTAAGGAGTTCAGACCCTTTTTCTGCAAGGGAGGGGGTACTATTTTGAAATGTTTAAAGCAGGATAGGGACAGCCTCAGGTCTGTGACCTAGAAAGATTGTGATGACTTCTGGGGACAGGGAAGTGGGACATGTATGTACATAACTGCATTCATGAGCATCCCCACACCGACAACCTACACATGTGTATATCCACACTTGCCTGTGCGTACGGGGAACCTTCCCACAGTGTAAGTGTGTGCATGAGGCAAGGGGCTCAGCCCACTTTCCCATTCTCGACACTGCTGCCTCTCCAAAACGCCTTCCTGTGCTCCTCACAAGTGGAGCAAACTCTGTTGAGCCAATGTCCCTTTCATATCACCTCATGGCCTTGCCTGACCCCTTATTAGATTTACTGACCCCAGATTTCTTTCCCAGGACACACACAATTTATATCCTTTCTTCATAACATATCCAGCCTTTCCTGAGGCTTCCACTGGCGACCGGCTCCAGGGACTCATATGCGCAAGGTGGAGGCACCCAGCACCAGGCCTATTTGTGGAGAGACTAATGAACTAAGGCACATACAGCTGGTGGTCAGGGCCATATATAAGAGAACAAGGGCATGCCTGGAGGGCCCAGGGCAGAGGGCTGAACTACAGATATTGCAGAATGAAGAATGGCCCCCTGCTGCCTCCTTTAAGCAGCCACTTCCCTAGGGCATTGAAAATAGGACTCTAGGCTAAGTAGAACATTTGGGGGAAGCAGAGCTATTTCATAAATTGCCCTTCATTACCTGCCTCGGTCTTCCCTGCTTTTCGGCTTCCCCAGGCACCTTTGGGACCAAAACTCTGTTTAAGCCCTTCCAAATCTGCCCTAGCTGGGGCCTCTGGCCCAGAGTGGCCTTGTTAGCATCTCTGACAGGCCAAAGGTTCCCTAACCCCTCACCCCGAGTCCAGCAACTGTTGTTTCATTTGCTTCTCACAGCAGCCCTGGTTGGGGGTGGGGGGCATTGTCAACTCCACCTCTGAGAGGAAAAAGACTCAAGGTTATGTGGATTGCTCAGTCACCTGCAAATTCATTGCAGAGTCAGAAGTCAGAATCCTGAGCCCCTGACTCCTAGTCAGTCATTCATTAATTGAGGCTAGTAAGAGTCAGGTGATTAACATTTTCTGAGCACTTTTTATATGCTGTGTACTTTGCATGTTTGTTTATTTGTTTCGCTTTAATGCCAGTCCTAATTGATAGGGATTATTATTGTCATTTATTGGTTAGAGGCCCTAGAGGTGAAACCACCTGCTCAAGGTCATACAGGTTAATAAGTTGTGGAGCTAGAACCGGAACTCAGATCTACCTCTCTCCGAATCCAGTGTTTTTTGCACTGTTCCACACTGCCTCTTGGCTGCATCAATTGATCAGTTAGGCCAAGCTTTGAGGAGACAAAATAAGTAAGTCTTGGATCAGTGTCTTAACGGCAACAGACAGTGGTTAATGTGATGATAAAATTATACATGTGGGACTGTGTATAGGCAATAGAACTAATTCTACTGGAGAGAGGAGGGATCAGGAAGACTTCCTGGAAGAGGTGGCACTTAAGTTACTCCTTGAAAGATGAGAAAGAGCAAAAGAGGGCCTTGTAGGTGGGAGAAACGTGAAGAAACATGAAGGTGAGACCATAAAAGTTTACAAATCTTCATTGTGTAGGATATATAAGTCATGTAGGTGATGAGAATTGGAGGTGGATATGCTGGGCGGGACCCAGCTGTGGGGCTTGAATGTCAGTCTAAAGCATTCAGACTCGATTCTGTTGGTCATGGAGAGCCATCACAGGGGCTAACATTTATTCAAATCACTGTGCTCTAGAAAATTGTTTTTATGTCTGTCTATCTCAGTAGACGGTAGATTCCCAAAGAGCAAGGCCTGGGTCTTTCCATCTCTCTCTTTCCAGGACCCACCAAGGAAATTCTTGTTGGATTTTAAATATAGGGAGAGGTCAGGTCTCTCACAGAATCACTGAGGGATACAGAGTTAGAAAAAGCAAAGACCTAGGCAAGCTGGTATCTCCCAAGCCCTCTGTAACTGTAGTCTGCCCCTCCTACAAGACCCAGTTTTGGTGTCTTTCTTCCAAGAAGCCCCGATAAGCTCTGCCTGGTCTGAAACAGACACACAGAGCTCTGTCAAGATCAAGTTCAGAGTCCATCATTTACTGCCAAGTCACTTTATATTTATTTGTTTTATCCCATATGATTCCACAAGAATTTCAGGAGGCTTTCCAAAAAGAATTCAAGCAATAAAATCAAAAAGAATAAGAAAAAAAATGGTACCAGGTAATGTTTATTAAAATTGAGAAAACAGAATGTGCATGGACAAACTATTGTTGCCAGATGTAAGGCTTAATCAGGTTCCGAGCTTCCTAGCAGCCAGTGCAGAAAGAGAGACTACTCAGTTCTCACAGCAGGAAAGGAGAAGATAAAACAGTTCCTCGATGAAAGCAAAGCGCTTCACTTACACTGGGGTATTCATTTAGAGAGCAGTGAGTATTAAGACCTTTAATGATAAAATAGTCAAAGTTCCTAGTTTCATTTGGTTCCTGTGGATGAAAGCTTAGGGTATAATACTTTAGTGTATCTCGGTGAAAGAAAGTCCACTGTGTGTGTAGAGGGGAGAAAGTGCTTTGAGACACTTAGTAACATGGAGCCTCATTTTCTGCATCTGGAAAATAGGTCACAGTGTTTCTCTAACTACCTCAAAAGCACAGTGTGAACTCAGTTTGTAAGCTGAACGGCTCTGCAAGTATTACTTGTTTTTATTAGAGCTGGATGGGATTTGGTCAATTGGTTTCCCTGAGGTCACACAGAAAATGAGTGCTAGGATCCAGAATGTCTTTGAATCTCAGGTACCATATCTCTAAAATGGGGGCCACAGTGGGTAGATTATAAAGATTAGGGGAGATAAGAGATGCTGAAATTACCTCTTCATGAGACGACGTGCCCATGTGAAGACTCCAGGGGTCCTGGAGGAGGGAGGAAGTGCTGGGGGACCGGTGAAAGAGGGTGGCAGGGGAAAATGAGTGCCCCTTCTCCCTCCTGTCCCTGCTCCAGCCTACCTCCTGAGTTGCGGCTTCCCTCCCCGGCCGGCCCACGGGGATGTGAGTGTGACAGACCTGCACCCTGGGGGCACTGCCACCTTCCACTGTGATTCAGGCTACCGGCTGCAGGGTGAAGAGACCCTCATCTGCCTCAACAGTACCCGGCCGGCCTGGAGCAGCGAACCCCCCAGCTGCATAGGTGAATCTCCTGCCACAGTAGGTGAGGGCTTCTGTCCTAGGAGCCCCACTGGGAGGGTCTGATGTTGGGGATTTCCATCTTTAGGGAACACCCATCTTGAAAGAGTTTTGATGCTGAAGAGTTGCTATCCTGGAGCCTCCATCTGGAGCTCTTTACGTTGAGGGTCTCGATCCTTGGAGTCTACATTGTTGGGGGATCCCCATCTGGGAATGTCCCACATGGAAGGTTTCCATATTGGGAGTCGCCATTCTGGAGGTCCCTTCTTTTAGAGACTCTCCATCTTAGAGGAAACCATTCTTGGGGGGTTTCAGACCTTTGAAGTGTCTCTATCCTGAGGAGTCTTCATCCTGGGAATCCCAGCTTACAGATTTTCCGTGAGGGCTTCAGTTGCGGGGGCGTCCCCAATGATTCTTCATCCCAGCACGTCCACGTCTGGGGAGCCTTCTCTTTGGTGAAATCCCCATCCTCAGGGGATGCACTTGGGCTTTCCTACTCCAGATCTGGAGTCCTGCCTTGGTGGCAGCCTGAAAAACCTCCTGTTCCCCGGGGTGAGCGCTCAGGGCAGAGGCCATGCTGAGGCCAGGTCCCAGTCAAAGGTGCGGATGCAGCAGCTCTGAAGATGGGAGGCGATGTCACCTTAACCTGCCCCTCTGCCCACAGCCTCCTGTGGTGGAACCATCCACAATGCTACACTGGGCCGCATCGTATCACCTGAGCCCGGGGGAGCGGCAGGGCCCAACCTCACCTGCCGTTGGGTCATTGAAGCAGCTGAGGGACGCCGGCTGCACCTGCACTTTGAGAGAGTCTCACTGGATGAAGACAACGACCGGTGAGGGCCTGGGCCTTGGATCAGAGGTCCCCACTGCAGGGAAATAGGGAAGCTACAATGGGGGGTCAGGCGGACCTTGGGTGGACTCCAGTCGGGATCTGTGTCAAACTCAGGTTTGTCATTCTTTTTCTTGGGCAGTATAAATGTGCAAACTTAGATGAATCTCTTAATCTTTCTACACCTCAGTTTCCTCATCTGTAGAATGGAGATGATAAATAGTACCTCTCTCAATGTTTCTGTGAGGATAAATGCATTAAGATATGTAAAATGCTCAGAATGGTGCCCAGCACATAGTAAGCATTAGAAATGTGTTTGCATTATCATAATTAACATTCTTTACCTAACAAACTGGTAAGCTCTGCCAGTAGTTGCTATGTGATATTAGGCAGGTTACTTAATCTTTCCGTGCCTTGATTTCCTCATCTATAAAATAAGGGGTAATAATAATAGTATCTGACTCAAGGGTTCTTGTAAGCAGTATACAAGATAAAATATGTAAAGGCTTAGAAAAGTACATGGAATATAATCAATGTTTGAAAATAATTGCTATGAAAATAAGTTAGAAGCGCAGACAAGAGTTGAGGCCGCTTCTGAAGGGAAACTGAACTCCTGGCCACCCTTCTGTTTGTCCCAGGCTGATGGTACGCTCAGGGGGCAGCCCCCTGTCCCCAGTGATCTATGATTCTGACATGGATGATGTCCCAGAGCGAGGTCTCATCAGTGATGCCCAGTCCCTCTATGTGGAGCTGCTTTCAGAGACACCTGCTAATCCCCTGCTGCTAAGCCTCCGATTTGAAGGTAACTGGCCTCCCCTCGGGCCCCAGCCCCAGCTCCTTCCCCGCTTCCTGATGTGCACACATGGTCACAGCACATACTCTAACGCTGCTCATCTCCATGTTTGGATTCCTGAAATCTGACTTGCCTCCCCACCCTAAAACTACAAAGTTCCCGTCATAAGAACCCCTTCTAATTCTATGTGGTGGCCTTTTCTGTTTAAGTCTCATGTATGGCTGGATCCAGGTACATAACCAAGAGACAGTTACCTTAACCTCTCAGTTCTTCCCTCTGTGTTAGCTTAGTTCTCAGGCACTCTCAGTCTGTGGTGAAACAAGCAGTTCCAGACCAACATACTACCAACTTAGTAACTCTTTCAGAAAGAGAAAGGATACCACTTTCCTAAGAGCTTCAGCAAAAAATGCCAGGGGATGTTCTCATTGGCCTGGCCTAGGTCATACCACTGCAGCTAGGGGAAGGTGGTGTTATTGGCAGATTCACATCACGCAGCCCTCCCTCTTTGGCCCCAAATGAAACTCAGGGACTGGAATTGTGGGAGGCATGTGTGCCAAAATGAAAATAAGAGTGTTGTTACCTACCAGAAGAAGGGGGACTGGATGCTGGACAGGTAGAAACAAGGAGGTCAGCGATCATGGGAGAAGAGGCATTTGAGCTGGGCCTTATGGGATAAAGAGAATTTTAAAAGAGATTGAGAGTTAGCATTTTGGGTGAAAGGAACAGTGTGAGCAATAGTAAAGAGGTAGAGGAAGACCTGTTCGGGAAACAGAGAATGCCAGTGTGACTGGAACAGAGAATTGACTCTGGACCCTAATGAATGTGTAGGATTTGGACATGGCATCTTATTAGGTTAAGTAACAATGAATCTAAAAAATAAATTTAACGTTATATTCTGAGAGTGCAAAGAGAATTCCTAGGTTTGACGCCTGCCTCCCTAGTTGTGGGCCACTTACGCTTCCTGAGCTTCAGATTCTTGTTCTGTATTCTAGGCACCTGAGTCTTACCTCACAGATAGTTTTGCAACTAAGGTATGATCAGATGTGGAAAAACAAAAATGCTCTACAAATGTTCATTTTTGCTGACTTAGTCCAAAGTCAAAGCTGCGTAGCTTTTGCATTAGCTGCACTTTTAGATTCTAGCCGCAACATGGATAATCAGGGATTATCAGAATCCAAGTGTTATTTCTGAGCAGAGAACACACCTATGTGAGCCAGTGTTCCAAAGGCGTGCTTCCCCTCACCCCCTTTGTAGTTTCCAGAGTCAAGTGTTTCTGGCTGGCAATCAAGCAATCTGTGTTTCAGATGTGGTTCTGCCACTGCCCTACTGCGTGCCTTTGGGCAAGCGGCTTTTTGTCTGTGGACCTCAGTTTCCTCATCTGCAGAATGATGGCTGGGATTTGACTAGCCTAGGGGTTTCCCTCCAGAGGCTGGGGAGGTAACATAAATATAAATGAGGAGTGTTAGGGTTTTGGGGAAACTGGAGAGTGAGAGCTAAGTCCAAAGTCATTCAGTTTTAAACAGCTCACTGAGTGGCCAAACAACACTCAAATTCAGCCCAAGTCCCCCAGTTTGAAACCCCTTGATGCCTGTCCGAATGCTTAATTTTTGTGGTTGACTCCTCTTTAGCCTTTGAGGAAGATCGCTGCTTCGCCCCCTTCCTGGCACATGGCAATGTCACTACCACAGACCCTGAGTACCGCCCAGGGGCACTGGCTACCTTCTCATGCCTCCCAGGATATGCCTTGGAGCCCCCTGGCCCCCCCAATGCCATCGAATGTGTGGATCCCACAGAACCCCACTGGAACGACACAGAGCCAGCCTGCAAGGGTGAGCCGTCCATATCCCCAGTAATCTTTCAGTCTGCAGACTAGCCCATGAGCTGCGGATCCACAGGAGACCTGCACATCCAAACCTAATAAACCCAGGCCTTGGGTAAATCCCTGTCCCTTTCTGGGACTCAGTTTCCTCAGCTAAATAATGAGTGGGCTTGTTACAGATTTCAGGGCTTACAACCCAAATGTCTCCAAGTGCTAGGAGTGAAGTTGGGCTAAGTCGTGGATTGGGTGGAGAGTAGGTGGGGTTAATTAAGAGCAGGACTGGGGATTGGACACAACAGGACTAGGTATGGCAAGGAACAGGTGGGTAATAGATAATAGGAAAGCTGTGAAGCAGTCTTGGTGCATACACTTGTGTTGGGGGTAGTGAGGACTGTGGTGAAATGGAGACTGCGTGCTCATCTGGTTCCTGAATCTGGCACCCTTTCCACCTTAGCCATGTGTGGAGGCGAGCTGTCAGAGCCGGCTGGCGTGGTCCTCTCTCCAGATTGGCCCCAGAGCTATAGCCCCGGCCAGGACTGTGTGTGGGGCCTACATGTCCAGGAAGAGAAGCGCATCTTGCTCCAAGTTGAGATGTATGTTTGGGTGATGCAGAGGGTGCGATGGGTATGGGCTCAGCAGTGCGGTGTTACAACACTCTGGCCTGCATTCTGAGCCTGGCTGGCTCCTGCGTCTACACAAGATCTGCTGAATACATGGTCTAATGAAAGAGGTGACTAAAGGGTCAGGAAGGGGGTGTGGGTTGTCAGGCAGACCTAGGTACAAATCACTAATTAGCCAGGCTGCCTAGGACAAGTAAATGGGTAATGGAGCTTTCCTCAGGAGCTGTTGTTAAAAGGGGGCTCTGGTCTAGTGTCTCTTACTCTGGCTGTTTCTGAGCACCCCCCAAGCAGATCTCCAGGGTCCCAGGCCCAAGCTGTTGCAGTACCCACAGAGCTTACGTTGTGGGTGTGGGGTAAATCCAGTGACAGGATTTGGTATGAGGTGTTCACGTGACTGGACAGAACCAGAAGTGGGTGTGGCCCCAAAAGCAGGCCTTCAGGCAGGGCCTAGAGTTGGACTAGAGGGTAACTGATCATGGTCTGTGACTGGTCAGAGCTGGTGTTGAGCTGGGCTGTGCAACACCTGGTGATGGAGAGTGAGAGGAATTAGTAATGAGCAGATTGGGCAAAGGGGGTGGGGGAGGGGATCGGGAAGCAGGAACTGGGAAGGAGCCACAGAACGGGTGGTCCTGGAGAGGCTAGTGCAGAGAAGCCCGTAACTGGTCAAAACTGAGGAGGGGCATACTGGGTAGGGGAACGTGGGGCGGGACTGGAGGGTAGGCACGGTATTAATAAACTGAGTTAGGGTTGAGTGGAACCGATGGTAGTCCAGCCTCCACACCTGGTCCTACTCCCTGCAGCTTGAATGTACGCGAAGGGGACATGCTGACTCTGTTCGATGGGGACGGTCCCAGCGCCCGAGTCCTGGCCCAGTTGCGGGGACCTCAACCGCGTCGCCGCCTCCTCTCCTCTGGGCCCGACCTCACGCTGCAGTTCCAGGCACCGCCCGGGCCCCCAAACCCTGGCTTGGGCCAGGGTTTCGTGCTGCACTTCAAAGGTACCGAGGTCTTAGGGTCCCAAGCTGGGCAGGGTTCCGGCAGGCCGGAGATCCCAGTAGGAGCGAGGCCCCACGAGGCTGGAAGGGAGCCCCGAGTCGCAGGACCGCCTCTAAACTCGCTGTCTCTATCCTGCAGAGGTCCCCAGGAACGACACGTGCCCTGAACTGCCCCCTCCGGAGTGGGGCTGGAGGACGGCTTCTCACGGGGACCTGATCCGGGGCACGGTGCTTACTTACCAGTGCGAGCCTGGCTACGAGCTGCTCGGCTCCGACATTCTCACCTGCCAGTGGGACTTGTCCTGGAGCGCAGCCCCGCCGGCCTGCCAGAAAAGTAAGCCAGGGACCCGCCCCTGCCCCTCTGGGTTTCACCGCTGTGCTTGGGCCCCGCCCATTTCACTCTGCACACCCGCCCCCCCCCCCTCCGTCCTTTGTCCCCGCCCTTGTCCGATCGGGGTCCTGTCCCTTCTCTCTGGGTCCTACCTGGACCTCCTCAGGCCCCGCTCCTACGCCCTTTGGGTTCTAGGCCATTTGCTCGTCGGTGCCCTGGAACTGCCCTCTGGGCCTCACTCTCACCTTCTACGGGCTGCATCCCACTGTCCTGTACTCACCTCCTTTCCTCTGGATCCCGCCTCATCTTTTAGTGGCCCCACCACTGTTCTGACTTCTACCCCTTCCTGTCCCTGTCCCATCAACGCATGGTTGTGTTCTTCCTGTTCTAGGTCCTATGCCAGTCTCTCAGTCCCCAGCCCTTGATATTACAGGGAGTCACTTTGCTAAGGCCCAGGCAGTCATTGAAGCTGGGTTGGGGTAGGGGTTATGCGGAGGGATTGGGGTTCCTCCCTACCCAGCTGGAGTTCACAGGCTGGGAGAGGAACAGATAGTTAAACAACTCAGGATATTACTAAGTGGTAACCACAAATACTTAATATCTCTTGAGCCTTGGCTTCCTCATTGGTGAAGTAGGAATAGGGGGTTGTGAAGAGCAAATAAGTTTTTTACACTGCCTGGTGCATGTGAGCAGTAAGTAGTAGTTGCTGTAAGTAATGAAGAAGGCCTGTAGGACGAGGGGTGGGTTACTTGTCCCGGGGAGGTAGCGGATTTCACAGAAAAGGTGACATTTAAAGGAGCTGGTAGTTTTTATTTTTTAGAAGAGCACAAAGGGGTGGCATCTTGTCACTTTCTCCCAATTTTGGAAAGCCTATTACAAGGACAAGGGATTGTAGGTCTTCTACTTGGCCCCTGGGCACAATGGTAGGGCCAATGAGCATAAATTATAGAGAGCTAGATTTGGGTTGGACATAGGGAAAGCTTTCTAGTGAAACAGCTCCCCATCTTTGGGAAGATTCATCAGATGTCCAGTCTGGAACTTAGACAGGACAGAAGAGGATGGAGGCAGGGTTCAGAGGGGATAGAGCTTGGCCCAGCTGCTCCAGCTCGGGAGGGAATCTGCCCAAGAAGGCACATTGTGCCCGAGGCTGAGCTGAGACCTAAATCTCTTTCAGCCCAGTGGTTTCAGCCCTGCTACTCCCTCTCTGAGTGACTGTGTGCCAGTCATTTGATTGCCCTGAGCCCTGGGCCCCAGGCAGATGACAGTGACATTGACCTCTCAGGATCATCAGAGTGTATATTGTATTTGTAAAACATTTTGCAGGGCTCTGACCGGTGTGGCTCAGTGGGCTGGGCATCGTCCTGCAAACTGAGGGGTCACCAGTTCGATTCTGGTCAGTGTACATTCCTAGGTTTGGGGCCAGGTCCCCAGTAGGGGGCATGAGAGAGGCAATCAATTGATGTTTCTCTCCCTCTCCCCCTCCCTTCCCCTTTCTCTAGAAATGGATAAATAAAATCTTAAAAAAAAAATAACATTTAGCAGGATGCCTTGCACAGATCTATATACAAGAAATGGCTATGACTGTGACTCTTCCACAAGGTTGTAAACGCAAACATCCGCGGGGGGCCAGCCCAGCGGGCACTATTAGGGAGCAGAATAGGCTGGGAATGATGAGGATGAGGGGAGCAAGATAGCTGGGCCCCTCTAAAGAGGGCAGCTGCTGTCCTGCCGATGGTCACGCAGGGCTGACACTGCTAGCATTTAGCCAATACGCTCAGTACAGTGGTTAAATATTTACAATTTTATCCTAGGATGGGGACCTGGGTTGCCCCAATCACTGTCTTCCCAAAGAAGCTGGAAATATAAAATGCACTGAATTTTAAGTTTTTCCCACTCCTGCTCCTTTCATTCTGAGGAAATAGTAGAAAGTAAGGGTTTCAGGTCTCTCCAAGCCCTAAGTTTCTGGGAGATCTTTTAAGGCCACAGCTCTCCCTGACCTTGCCCTCTTGCCCACAGTCATGACTTGCGCCGACCCTGGGGAGATCACCAATGGGCACCGTACCACCTCAGACGCTGGCTTCCCTGTTGGCTCCCACGTCCAGTACCGCTGTCTGCCGGGGTACAGCCTGGAGGGGGCGGCCGTACTCACCTGCTACAGCCGGGACACAGGCACACCCAAGTGGAGCGACCGGGTCCCCAAGTGTGCCTGTGAGTCTGGGGGCACTTGGGAAGGACGTCTGGGTGGCTTGCTCAGCAGTGTAGCTGGCATGTGACTGACATGTTCCCTGCAGTGAAGTACGAGCCGTGCCTGAACCCCGGAGTGCCAGAGAATGGCTATCAGACATTGTACAAGCACCACTACCAGGCGGGCGAATCTCTGCGCTTCTTCTGCTATGAGGGCTTTGAGCTCATCGGCGAGGTCACCATCACCTGTGTTCCCGGCCACCCCTCACAGTGGACCAGCCAACCCCCACTCTGCAAAGGTGCCTGGGCAGACAGGGCTGGAGGGGTTGGTCATAGCAGTGTTTGGGGAGTGACAGGGCTGAGAAAGTCAAAGTTGCAAACTTGAGACCACTGGTAACCCTGCTGAGTTCCCCATGCACCTCCTGTGGGCTCCCGTCCTCATGGGTACATCTGGACGTCCTGGGGAAGTTCGAGGTCGTAAAACTATGCTAAGGGATAGAGCAGAAGGGGCTTTGGTTTGGAAGTCTCTTACCTTCCAGATAGGTCTGTTTCCCTGTTTTTGAAAGTGCTGTAGACCTGGGTGGCTTAGACTGCCCAGGGTTAAGAACAAGGGAAGGAAGAAGGCCATGCTCTGATTCCTCCTCCCTGACCCCCACCAAGGGAAAGGCGAAGTTTAGGTTGAGCAGAAGGCAGAGAGAACCAGGCTGTCCAGCCCAGCCCCACTGGGCTCCCGGCCCCCGACCCAGCCTCCTTCCCTCCCTGGCTCAGACCCCGTCCCCCCCTCCTCCTCTCCCTGCAGTGGCCTATGAGGAGCTCCAGGACAACCGAAAACTGGAAGGTCAGTGAGGGCACAGGTGGAGACCCAGGCGTGGCTGAGTCGGGAGGGCAAGGCAGAGGCTGGGGGCAGGAGGCCAGGCCCCAGAGGGGTAAGGCCCAGGGTTCAGGGCCAAGGGCAGGAGGCTGGGAGAGCCCAAGGCTTGGCCCAGCCCCAGCTCAGTGGCCTCTCCTCCCCCCTCCAGTGACCCAGACCACAGACCCATCACGGCAGCTGGAGAGTGGGAACCTCGCCTTGGCCATCCTGCTGCCCCTAGGCTTGGTCATTGTCCTTGGCAGTGGCGTGTACATATACTACACCAAGTAAGTACCATACTTAGGGAGCTGACGCCAGGGCAAACATCCTGCTTGCCTGGCGCACAAGCCTGGGTGAGGCTTGGGGTATTGGGGGCTCCCCTCTCTATAAGCCTCTCTATCTCCTCCATTTCCCAGGCTGCAGGGAAAATCCCTTTTCGGCTTCTCAGGCTCCCATTCCTACAGCCCCATCACTGTGGAGTCAGACTTCAGCAATCCACTGTACGAAGCTGGGGTGAGCCCCCCTCCCCCTGGAATGCCACACCTCTCAGCTCCCCTAGGACTCTATAACCTTCTTTCAAGGTCTCTGTAGTATCTGTCTTGGGAATTTCAAACTCAGCTGCCTACAAAGGCCATGTCAATGAACAAAGCAAGTCAGGTGTGAACAATGGGGAGTGGTGAGGATTCTGGTTAACTGGAGAAGGTGTCCCATCTAGTCCACAGTGGAAACAAGCCCAACTGCCAGATTGTTCAAAACGATCCAGAAATTGAGATTTTTTTAATGCAATTTAAACCTACTGTAGGATGAATCAAACATCCGATGGCCAGATTCAGTGCCACTCCCACACCACAGTGCGCACCCCCCCCCCCCCCCCGACCACTGATGTTACTTTAAAAAGCCAGGGTTTTCCCCCTGCCTTGTGGCCTCTCTGGTTTTGCTGCCTCCTCCACCCTCATCCCACTTCAGCAACTGACCCCATCTCTCTGTCTCCAGGATACACGGGAGTATGAAGTTTCCATCTGAACCTGAAGACTAAGGCTGCAGGACCCAAGATGCGCCTCCCCTCCTCATTCTGGGCAGGCAGGAGTACAGGACCTGGTCTCTGGCTCCTTCCCTCCCTGCTGTGTAAATAGTCTCCCGGTCCCAAGGTGACGGGGAAGGGGGGGCTCTGATGGCCCCGGGGACCCTACAGTAAATAAACCAGCATCCTGCCACCCAAAACTTCCTCTTCTCAGTTGCCAAACAAGGGGCCTACCCCAACCTACCCTATTGGCTTTGGACCCTGGCATGGGAACTCAGCTCTCCTGAAACCCCTGGGGCCTCCAGCCCAGGCTCCCCCGTAAGGACTGCCCCCAAGAACTCTGCTGTTCCCTTGGCCACGAAGGCTCTGCCCTTCCCAGATGTTCTGGCTCCGGCCTAACTCCTGGGCCTTGGAGGGTCAGAAGAAGGACAAAGGGGAGAGCTGGGACAAGACGGCCCCACCCCCTTCTCGCTCTCTCCCCAACCCACAGTCTCTCTCCACCTTTGCTTCTGGATTTTTGTTTTTAACCAATAAACAGAAAATCACCATTTGTAACTGGGCTGGTGGGGTGTGGGAAGGTGGGTCTTGAGCATCAGAGATGGTGATGGTGGCCTCTGGAGAGAGGGCTGGGGAAAGGGGAACCATTTGGAAAAAAAGATGGAAATCTTAAGACTAGGCTCAGGGTACTCTCAAGGGGTCAAAAAACTGGGTTTTAGGGTCAGTCTGTGCAGAGGACTGACTGGGATAAGCCCCCTCCGGGCGTCAGCTGTCTCTCCACCAGGGCTCGCTGTCTCTCGGCTCTTCTAGCCAGACATGGCTGACAGTAGCCACCTCTCCTACCTCACTGTTTGGCAGGAGACAAACAGCAGTCCATTTGCTTCATGACCAGTTTACCCCCTTTTGAGAATATCTTTATCCTTCTAAGTATACTATCCGCCCCCCTCCCATCTTTTTGGCAATTAAGAATATCTGCTGTTACAGCTCTACCGTGTATTGATCCTATTTGCAGCATTTCTTAAACAATGAGCTTGTTTTATATCCTGTAAGCATCCTTCATTTAATTTTGAACACTGAAAGAAGTCCATAGGCTGTTTGTCTAAAGAGTCTCAAATTAATTGAATTTTAATTAAAATTTTATATTTAAATACAATTTAACATTTATGTCCCTCAGAAGGATATTAAAATACTCAAAAGGGGGTTGAATTTTAGGACATCACGAGGCAAAGTGATCTTGATAATAGCCTAAGCTTTGGGGCATTTATGTTCTGCTAGGCATTATGCTAATTTGTATGCATTGTTTTTAACCCTCGCAAGGACCCTGTGAGGTAAAGACAATTATTCCCATTTTCAGATAAGGAAACAGGCTCATAGGTGTGAACTTGACTTCCTCAGGAGGCTACAATAGTGGCCAGACTGGGATATAAATGCAAACTCCAGAAAGCCTACTGCACTGCCTTCTGGCTGGTAATGAACATGTTGTGTTCCCATAGGCACAAAACCCCAAAGCTCAGAGGGGAGACTGCAGTACTGCTTTTAGTGGCAGAGGCTGCACCTCAGAAGCAAGGGTAGACCTGGTCAGGTGCCACAGGCCTAGACATTAACGCACTCAAGTTTGGCTAGGAGGCTAGGTTGGGAACCACGGACTCACCTCTGCCAGCAAGCTGATAGATAATGCCTTGAATAAAAACTACGCCAATAAGCCATCCCAATAATATACCCACATCTGGTTCAAAAAACAAAAAACAAAAGCCATTCCTCCCATATCTACACGCCAGAGAAGTCACACTGGAGAACTGCCTGGGTTGGGAGAAGGGAAGGATCTCTATCTCTTTATTAAAGCCTTCGATTTCTGGTGGTGTCCTTTCCAGCTGAGTAGAAAGATGTGTGAGGTTCCAGAACAATTTGGAGGCTTCAGGGGTGACGCTGCTCATGACCAGGAGTCCCATCCCCTAACCTGAAGTGATTACTGAGGGACGAAAGAGGAGCTTTGAGGCAAGTTCTAGAGAGACAGAATGGGGGAGGGGATGAGAGGCCAAGAGCAGCACTAGAGAGGGTCGGGGTCATCCTCCAGATGTCAAGCTGCTAGGCAGAGCTCCCTGGAAAAGAAAGAGAGTCTTTGACTCTAGACCCAAGGCTCATGTATTTTTTTTTTATATATATTTCCACTTTTTAAAAAGATTTTATTTATTTTTAGAGAGAGGAGAAGGGAGAGAGAAAGAGAGGGAGAGAAACATTAGTGTGCAGTTGCCTCTCACTCGCCCCCTGTGGAGGACCTGGCCCACAACCCAGACGTGTGCCTTGAGTAGGAATCGATCTGAAAACCTTTTTGGTTCACAGACTGACACTCAGTCCACTGAGCCATGCCAGCCAGGGCTATCCTTCCATTCTTCATCTAGCCATTCAACCCCTATCCCCCACCCATCTAACTATCCGCCCACCATTCTGCTTCCATTCATCCATCTATCCATCCACACATCTACCCATCGTTCCCAATCCATCATTCCATGAGTCATTTGTCTGCCCATCTATCCCTCATTCATCCACCCACTCATCCATTCATCTCTCTACCATCTAATCCCTCACATCTATCTAAACTTCCTGAAGTCAGGGATCCTATTTGGCTCAGTTCTATAACCCAGCTCCTAGAGCAGTGCTGATACACAGTGCTTATTAAATGTTCAATGAATTTATCTACCCATTTGCCCATCCACCTACCCTCCCCAATCTATTCATCCATTTTCCCACCCAACATTTGACCACCTACAATTCAAGGGGCAATTCAAAGATCTGTAAGCTTCCATGTTCTTTCTTGAGGGTGAGGAAGGAAAAGGTCTCTTGGGACACCTGAGGGCTGGCAGGTGGATGGGGGGGTATTAGCTCAGGATGAAATCCTCAATTAAGTACCATTGAGAAGGAGAGGGAAACTACTATACGGACTACTAGGCTCTCTACAGGGCATTTTGCCCAAGGCTCCCACTTGATATATGGGGAAAGGAGTAGCAACTTGTATGAGGCTAGCTATCAAATAAATAACAAATAAGCTACTCAGGCTCAGGGCTTTTTTGCCTCTTCAGGCTGCTTCCAACACCAAAGCCCAACTGGAAAAGATCAAATGTCCCAAAGGCACTAGAAAGTCAGTTCCTTGAGGACAAGAACAGTGGCTTGTTGTCAGCTGCATTTGCCTCTGGTCTTGATCATGAACATTTGAAGTAGCAGCTTCAGAGATATTACTATCCCCATGGCCTGTCGGGCCTGACACATAATAGACATTCAATAAACATTTGTTGTCTATCAGTTCCTTTTCTGCCTTCTTTATGAACTCCTCTCCTCTGCCAACCTCTTTAAAGGAGAGGTTCTCCACACCTCCATCCTCAGTGCCCTCGCCTCTCTTGCTCTGTGCCCTCCTCCACGCTGCCCAGGGCAACTGCACACCGTCCACATGTCACCTCCCGCCTAGATGAGATCTCTATCACCAGCTCAGACTGATCCAATGAGTCTGAAGCCATATTTCAAACTGTCTGAAGGGTGTTTCCACCTGGAATTTCTATGGACACCTCACACCCAATCTGTTCAAAGGTGGGAGGATGTGTTTCATGCTTCATGAAGAGTGAGAAAGCTGAAATGACTGAAAGCGGTGTAAATCAGGGGGGCAATTCTAGACAATCAGGTCAGAGAGACAACGGGGTCAGAGAGGAGAGAAATCATGTAGGGCCTTGTAAGCCACTGAACGACACTGGATTTTACTCCAAAATGGGGAACTATTGTCGAGTTCTACACAGAAGCATGACATCATCAGACTAGTGGGCCACTCTAGTCAGAAACCTGGCAATCATCTGATTCCTGCACTTTTTTCCCCTAACACTTTTAATCATTTACCAAACTCAATCTTCCTGGGTTTTTTTCCTTTTAAAGTTACAGTTGACATTTGATATTATTTTATATTCATTTCAGGAATTTGTAGTGGTTAGACAGTTATATAATTTACAAAGTGATCTCCCTGTTAAGTCTAGCTCCCACTTGACAACATACCTACTTATTACAATATTGACTATATTCCCTATGCTGTAATTTACTTACATCCTCATGACTATTTGGAGGCTACCAATTTGTGCCTCTTATTCCTTCACATTTTCCATCCAGCACCACAATCCCCCTCCCATCTGGCAACCCTCAGTTTGTTCTCTTTATATGAGTCTGCTTTTGTTTTGTTTATTTAATTTTAATTCTCACCCGAGGCTGTGTTTATTGATTTTAAAGATTTTATTTTTAGAGAGAGGAGAAGGGAGAGATAAAGAGGAGAGAAACATGTTTGAGAGAAACTGATCGGTCACCTCTCACATGCCCCCAACTAGGGACCTAGCCTGCAACCCAGGCATGTGCCCTGACCTGGAATCAAACCGGTGACCTTTCACTTTGCAGGCTAGCACTCAATCCACTGACTCACACCAGCTAGGGCTGTTTACTGATTTCATTTTTTTTTTTTTTTTTGTTTATTGATTTTAGAGAGAGGAACATATATTGATCAGTTGCCTCCCATACATGCCCCAAACAGGGATCAAACCCAAAACCTAGATATGTGCCCTGACTGGGAATCAAACCTGCAACTTTTTGGTGTATGGGATGATGCTCTAACCAACCGAGCCATCCAGTCAGGGCAGTTCATTTATTTTGTTCTTTAGATTCCACATATAAGTGAATTTATATGGTATTTGCCTTTGTCCGACTTATTTCACTTAGCATAGTATACTCTAGGTCCATCCCTGTTGTCACAAATAGTAAGATTTCATTCTTTTTTATGGCCAAGTAACATTCCATTGTACATATGTACCACATCTTTATCCAGTTGTTTATTGATGGACATTTAGGTTGCTTCCATATCTTGGCTACTGTAAATAATGCTGCAATGAACATAGGGATATCTTCAAATTAGTGTCTTGGTTTCTTTGTATAAATACCCAGAAATGGAATTGCAGGGCCATAAGGTAGTTCTATTTTTAATTTTTTGAGGAAACTCCATACTCTTTTCCATAGTGACTGCTCCAATCTGCATTCCTACTAATAGTGCATAAGGGTTCCCTCTTCTCCACATCCTCGCCAGCACTTGATTTATTGGTAATAGCCATTCTGGTAGATGTGAGGTGATACCTCACTGTGGTTTTAATTTGCATTTATCTGATGATTAATGACATTGAGCATCTTTTCATGTCTATTGGCCACCTGTATGTCCTATTTGGGTCCTCTACTCATTTAATTGGATTGTTTGGTTTTTTGGTGTTAAGTTGTATGAATTCTTTTTTTAAAAAATATATTTTATTTATTTTTAGAGAGGAGGAAAGGGAGGGAGAAAGAGAGGGAGAGAAACATTGATGTGAGAGAGGAACATTGATTGGTTGCCTCTAAAATGCACTTCAACTGGAGACTGAAGCTGCAACACAGGCATGCGCCCTGACCAGGAACCGAACCGGTGACCTTTCGCTTTGGAGGATAACACCCAACCGACTGAGCAGCACTGGTCCGGGCTGTATGAATTGTTTGTAAATTTTGGATATTAACCCCTTATTGGATGTATCATCGGCAAATATCTTCTCCCATTAGGTAGGTTTGTCTTTTCATTTTGTTGATGGTTTCCTTTGCTATGCAAAACCTTTTTAGTTTGATGTAGTCCCATTTGGGTTTTTTGTTTTTTGTTTTTTTTTGAGGCGATATATCCAAAAAAATATTACTAAAAGCAATGCCAAAGAATCTGCTGCCTATGTGTTCTTCTAGGTGGTTTTATGGTTTCAGGTCTTAATATTTAAGTCTTTAATCCATTTTGAGCTTATTTTTGTACATGGTGCAAAAAAGTGACCTAGCTTCATTTTTTCTGCATGTATATGTCCAGTTTTTCCAGCACCATCTATTGAAGAGACTGTCTTTGCCCCATTGTATATCTTTGCCTCCTTAGTGATATAGTAATTGACCATATAAGCATGGGTTTTTTTTCTGGGCTCTCTATTCTGTTTCATTGATCTATGTGTCTGTGTTATGCCAGTATCATTCTGTTTTGATTTGATCTGGTAACATGATACCACCAACTCTGTTCTTTCTCAAGACTGCTGTGGCTATTCGGGGTCCTTTGTGGTTCTACATAAATTTCAGGATTATTTGTTCTAGTTCTGTGACAATACCATTGGTATTTTGATAGAGGTTACATTGAATCTATAAACTGCTTTGGGTTGGTCTTTACTTCTTATATCTGCTCTAGCTCTCATCTCTACTATTACTGTAACAACTCAGGACCTAATCATCTCTAGCTTAGTCTCTTGGAATAATTCCTAACTGGCCACCCGGCCTCTGGTCTCTCTCCTTTCCAGTTCACTCTTCCCATTGACCCCCAGCATGACCAATCTAAAATTCCAATCTCCCTTTCTCTCTTTTTTTTAAAGGTTATATTTATTTACTTTGAGAGAGAGGAGGAGGGAGGGAGACAGGGAAAGAAATATCAATGTGGGAGAGACACATTGATCAGTTGCCTCTTGCATGCCCCCAACTGGGGACCTGACCCGCAACCCAGGCATGTGCCCTGACTGGGAATCAAACTGCTAACCTTTCACTTCACAGGCCGGTGCTCAATCCACTGAGCCACACCAGCCAGGGCATATTCCAGCCTCCCTTGATCAAAACTCTTCAATGACTCCTCAGCTAGGAAAACATCTATGGATCTTAATAAGGCACACATAGGATCTTAATATGGTCTCTTGATTTGTCCCCTGGCTACAAAGGTCACTTGATTTAGTCTCCAGCTACCTTGCCTGCATACTCCAGCCATTAGACTACTCTGGTCCCATCATCTCCCTGCCCTGAGAACACACGCACATACTCTCACACTTACTCTACTGAGACTCACCTCTGACTATGCCTTTGCTTACATAAGGCCTGCCACTTGGAATATCCCTACTAACCCATTTTTTCCTGGGAAATTCTTTCTGTAGATGTCACCGCCACCAGGAATCTCCATGATTCTTTTTGTTTCTGTCCCAGCAGAGGCTGGGAAAAGTGCTCTTCGTGCTGCTTCCATTTTTATTATGGGCACTCACCCATATTACATTGTAATTGGCCATGTATTTGACTGGCCTCACACTGAGCTGTGAGCTCTACAAGAGCAAGTGTATCAATCCCTTCTGTGTCCCAAGTTCCTAAAACAGGGACTGACATATGCAAACTCTCAATGTTTGATTAATACTGAATGACCTTCTCATCTAGGGACCCTGTACATACCTTGTCGTGAGGGGATGGTAGAACGCATGCCTTGGTGCAGGTACGGTTTCTGTCAGAGCTAGAGATGGTGGAAGGGAAAGAGTAGGGATAAGAACTCTGAATTCAAGGGTCAGAGCAGAATAGGACTACATTGCCTAAAAATCCTCCTACCCTGCTGAAATGTTGTCAGACCCTCACTCTCTCCCCTTACAGCTCCCCATCTTTCTCCTAGAACAACGGGCATCTCCCTTGAAGCCTCACTCACCAGGTGTCAGTGCCTCGGGTCTTGGTGAAGATCACTGAAAGCAGAAGCCCCAGTCAGGGAAATTACTATCCTCTAAGTACATTGCCAGGAATATGTGGCTAGGGAGGAAGGGGCTGAGTTGATCCTAGCCATCAGTAAGGAGTGGGTACTGGATTAGTGGGTATGGGGTTAGCCTGGTCGTGAGATGAGGGAGAGGGGCACAGATTCCTGGAAAAGTCAGCTACGGTTGGGAGGGAGTCAGGAACTTGACTGAGAGGTATGCGAGAGTCTCTGGACACAGTGGTCCTGGGGTAGGGGGAGAATCACCGTGTTTGGATATCTGAGTCCCTCTGTCTTGTGTCTGTTTTTCCTTGGTGGGCACAGGGTTCACGCCATAGCCAGCAATAAACAAGGCCTCATCGGTGAGTTCTGTGCTGATCCGAGTCAGAAACTCCTCAGAGCGGGATAACGAAGCCTTCTGATAAAGGGAAGTCAGAAGGGCCCAGCCTGGAAGCTCCTACATGGGAGTACTGGGTCCAGGGGCTGGCAAGCTGGAGGATCTGGGTCTAAGGAGTCTGGTATTAAAGGGCTGGGCATGGGATTTGGCCTGGAAGGCCCTGTAGGTGAGGAGCAAGTCTTTTGGGGCCTCAGGGCCTAGTGCGGAGGGCTACGGGCTAGAGACTCATGGGGGAGGTCCCAGTGCCCTCAGCCTAGGAGCTGTCTACTTCAGTTTACCTCCACCTCCAGAACTCCCCTCCAATGCTCACCGAACCTCCACCCAAGAATGTTGCGGCTTGGGACAGCTGGCTGCCCTTTTTCTCACTGCTCTTGGTAGGAGTGGATTCCATCCCCCTGGGAACAGTTGGAGCCTTTGTTAGGTTGAGAAACCATCCTACTTCTCCCAAACCCTTACCAGCACCATACCCCAGGACCAGATTTAAACCAGGTATTTTGATAAACCGTCCTGTCTCAGTTCTCTCTCCGGAGGGGGGGAAAAAATCGTTGCCTTAAATATTCCTGGGATGAGGAGCCGAGCGGGAAGTCCCACAACAATCCCCTGCCCCGCGGCGCCCAGGAGGCCTCTTCCTCGCCCCGCCCCCCGCCCCCCGTCCCCCACCAAAGAAAGCCCTGCCCAAGACTAGGCAGCCGACTTGCCGCCCCCGACCTGGCAGGTGGGTTGAAATCTTGGGCTACTCGGCAGGAGGGGAGGCGGGGAAGCGGGGAAGTCTAGGGAGCACGGGGAGTTGGAGCTGGGGGGGTAGATAGGAAAGAGGGGGAACCCAGGCGGCGTGGCTACGCGTTGCTATAAAACCCTTGTTTGCTGGGGTTCCGCAGTCCCGTAGCCAGGAGATTAGGGATTCTAGAACCAAGGGCCGGGAGTGGACGGGGGGAGGGGAGCATTTTCCCAGCAAGTGGCACTCACTCCTCCGGCCTCTCCTCCAGGTCCCTGCTTGGGGGCTGTGACTCCAGCGCCGGAGGCTGGAGAAATTTGGGAAGATCACTTAGGGTGAAGTCTGGAACCTAATTCTCCTACCACTAGGGGCACGCAAAAAGCAGCCTCACCCCAGGTCGCACTTCAGCCTCTCTAGCCGTCACCTCGTAGTTCGGAGCCTGCTAGAGCCAATGAGGCCCGAGAGAGGCGGGGCGAGGAAGACAGCAATGTGGACTGTACTAAATAACCTTGCCTCTTGGGCACGCCAAGAATCAGGAGGGCGGAGTCTTTTCTCCTTATCTTTGTCTCCAGAAAGTCACACCCTCCTCAGAAAGGAAAGGAAAGATATTTATCTAGGTCTCCTAGCCTTTGGATCTCTCCTTTTCTGTCCCTTCCTTTGCTCGGCGTCGATACCTTACCCCCTCACCTCCCTCTGTACTTTGGTACGAGCCGTTGCAAAGGGCGGAGGGAGGAAAAGGAAAGGGAAGGCAGTTCTTAAAGGGGCCGCAGCCATTTTTTTAAGGCCTCTTTTTCCTTTCTCCAATTTTAGAAGTGTGAGCGCAGAAGACTAGGCTCTTGGAAGCTGAGCAGAACTGGAGCAGGAGGGACCACAGCTGGAGGCTGCAGCGCCTCCGGGGTGGGTGGAAACGAGGGTCTGCCTTTAGGAAGGGCTGGGCGTGCAAGACCCCTGGGTCCTGCGCACATCTGGGGCGGTGTATGCTCCCGCTAGCAGCGAGCTTTAACATCAGGGACCGGGCAGGGACTGTGGGGTGTTGGGCGCTGTTGGCGTGGCCGATGCGCCAGGGCGGAGTGTGACGCCGCGCGGCGGGGCTGAGACAGAGCTGGCACTTCCGGATCCCACCCGTGGCGGTAAGGGCACCGCCGCGATGCCAAGCGAAAATATCTTCCTGTTTGTGCCTAATCTAATTGGTGAGTGCTGCCCTAGGCTCCGTGCTGAACGGGAGAGAGAGGAACCTTGGGCCAACTCTCTGATTCCGCGTTGTCTGTCTTCCCCGTCCCATCCTAAGGTTATGCCCGGATTGTCTTCGCCATCATTTCTTTCTACTTCATGCCCTGCTGCCCCCTCACGGCCTCCTCCTTCTACCTGCTCAGCGGACTTCTGGACGCTTTCGATGGACACGCTGCTCGAATCCTTAATCAAGGTGACAGTCAACTCCTCCCAGCCAACCTTGAGGCACAACAACCCACTGCCCCCTTTTCCTGCCTCCTCAGGAACTAAAGGTGGTCGGGTACTCGGGAAATCAGAGGGTTCCATCATTCCCATCTCTATGAAGCAGAACCGAATGGTCTGGTTTTATAGCAAAGGGATTTAAGCTAGCCGTTGAGAAGAACTCACAAGACTGGACATGGCAGTGGCAGTGCTGGAGTTCTCTGAATTATTATCCAAGAGGTGTTTACTGGATGTCTACTGTGTGCCACGCTCAGCAATCCTGATTCCAGAAGGCCTGTCTAGAGAGAGGATGGAGAGAGAAGGAAGATGGCTTCTGGAGGGTTGAATCTGTTGTTTAGACCTACCTCCAAGACTTCCCCTAAGACTTCAAGTCTCTTCGTTTTGAGGCCTGCACCCTTGATTCTGGGATTTATGAGTTAGGTGTAAACTAGCTTTCTCACCTCCTCTTCCAGTCTCTCTTCACAGTTCCCTGCCTCCTCATTTTATGTCATGGAGACCCTTGTCCACTGACCTCACACCCAATGGGTAACAGTCTGTTTTCTTCCCCAGCAGTGGGTGGTGGACATTTCCTGTCTTTTAGGCTTTGCATCAGCGTGATACACCAAATACTGCCTCTGTTGTAGATGCCCTGCTCCCTAACAGCACCTTCCCAACTAATAGCCCCATTTTTCAGGGACCCGGTTTGGGGCCATGCTGGACATGCTGACTGACCGCTGCTCCACCATGTGTCTGCTGGTCAACCTGGCGCTGCTGTACCCTCGTGCCACCCTTCTCTTCCAGCTCAGCATGAGCTTGGATGTGGCCAGCCACTGGCTGCACCTCCACAGGTCTGTGACTCAGGGTGTTGACTGGCTGAAGAAGACACTACAATAGGGAGGGGTGAGACTGTATGGGAGGTGTCTGGGGGGGGTGGCTTCAGGCTGCTTGAGAGGTCTCCATTTTAGGCACAACCATGGGCAAGTCCTCTCCGAGTCAGCTTCAGTCCTGTTTATAGTCAAATTAAGCAATCCCTAAAACTCTTCTGACTGGCTATTTGAGGATTCCAAATGGGTAACAGCGCTTGGGAAGGGGCATGGGGGCTTTTGAATGTGGCATTTGAATCTTGACCCTGTCCCCAACTAGGTAATTGTGTGGCTTTGGGCAAGACGGTGGTCCTCAGCTGGGCTTCAGTTCCTCCTGTGTACAAGAGAGGCAGTTCCAGTACCTTCCTTGTGGAAGGTGCTATGAGGATTAGATGGGTGTCAGTGGTAATGAATGCTCATGGATTCCCCTACTTTCTCCCCAAGTTCTGTGGTCCGAGGCAGTGAAAGTCACAAGACGATCGACCTATCTGGAAATCCAGTGCTTCGCATCTACTATACCTCCAGAGTGAGCATTTCCTACCCCTCCCTTATTTACTCAGCTAGTGCCAAATCCTGGGCTGTGCCCTGGTCCCTGGTTAGGAGCGGGTACAAACACAAAGGAAGAACAAGCCACCCAGGGGAGGAGAGGCCTATAAGCCGAGATATGAAGGAGGGTAGAATTAGTGGGAGGGCCTGTGTGAACTGCTCCAGGCAGCAAGTGTTTTTTAAAGAGAGAAGTAATATGCTGAGATTGCTTTCTCATCCCCCCAACTGCACCCTTATTTCCCCAGTACAGTTCCAGCTCCCCATCCTCACAGGGTTTTGGCCCGCTGTCCCTGTGTGTCTGTGTTGGGGTGAGGGGTGCACGCTGCCTCACCCTCTTGTTTAAGCAGCCTTTTTGCTATTTGTGCAGCCTGCTCTGTTCACCATGTGTGCTGGAAATGAGCTCTTCTACTGCCTCCTCTACCTGTTCAATTTCTCCGAGGGACCTTTAGGTAGGAGATGAGGGGCTGGGCGGGAGGATGGGAGGGTTCTGGCCTGCCCAGGAAGATGAAAGCCAAAGGCTCAGGGGCCCCCTCCCTCACCCGCATCCCATTTTCTCAGTGCTGCCCTTGCTTCCTTCCCATAGTTGGCTCTGTGGGTCTTTTCCGAATGGGACTGTGGATCACCGCCCCTGTCGCCTTGCTCAAGTCCCTCATCAGTGTCATCCACTTGATCACAGCCGCCCGCAACATGGCTGCCCTGGATGCAGCAGATCGTGCCAAGAAGAAGTGACCCTGGACCTTGCAGCCTCTGGCTTGGGAGTCTCACTGTGCCACACAGCTCCCCTCTCCCTCCTAGGAGGTCCAGGCTTGTGTCTTCCTAATGGCCAACCCTCTGGGAAGGGGTTCAGGCTCTTTAGTGATGTCACGTTGTCCGTAATCCTGAAGGCCGGTTCTACCCCTGGACTCCAGATCAGGAAGGACGCTCAGGAGCTCCCACCCACGTGGGCAGTGCTTCTGGGGGCACCAAGAGGCTTCCCCGAGGACTGGGTATTTTCATAGCTGCTGGCTTAGCCTTGGGACCTGGCTTGGCCTGGAGACTTTAGGGACACTTGCAGGAGGGAGATGGGATAAGGGCCAGGTTTCCCAAAAGGCAGGGAATCAGACCTCTGTCCCTGGCCAGAGGAAGCCTGCGGGTACTGTGGCTGGGAGACAAGGAGCCATCTGGATTCTTCTCCATTGCAGTGTCCTCTGTCAGGTCTGTCCTAGCTCCAAAAGCCTGAATAATAAAGGTAGGGGCTTCACTGTCCTGGATTTGTTTTCCTTTGAAATAGTCTTGGACTGGGGCCTGGGTTGAGGGGAGCTTGGGGAAGAAGGGGATCCATCTGGCTGCTTCTCCCTCGGTTGTTTACTGCCTAGCTTTTCATCATTGCACAGAGACCTCAGACAGAGACGCTCCCTGCCGCCCAAGGCATGCCATGTCCACTTGCCCGCCTGCTTTATTTCCTTTACCATGCTGTCCCTAGCTGTCTACATTTATTTGTATGCCTGATACTCTCTGACCCTACTGGAATGTAAACTCCATGAGGGCACTGACTTTTCTTGTTCCTTCTCTGTCCCTACAATGAGGATTAACCTTAACCCGGCATATCATAGCTGCTTAATAAATACTCACAGGTAGGTCAATTGGTTTCTCAAGAGTGCAGTCCTTACATTACCTGTGGGATACCTTTTTAAAATCCAGCTTCTAGGGCCTGCACCAGAGTTGGAATCTCTAGGGATGGGCCCAGAAATCTGCAATTTTAATAAATTCCAGGTGATTGATTTTTCTTCCCAAGAAGATTGAAAATCACTGTTCCTTAAACATTTTTTGGGCACCTACGAGACATTGGTAGACATTTGGGCACCAGGTAGACATTGTCCTGGACATTTGTCTCTAACAGCAACCCCTACCATCTGAGCTTTCTGGCTCTCTGGCACTGGCTTTCTTTTTAAAACTACATTGGGGCTATCACATGCCAGATCCTGTGCTGGGGGTTGTTGCAGATGTTACTCATTTTATCCTTACAGCAGCTTAGCCGAGGGGCACTTCTCATGTCCAGGAGAGCTGAAATTCAGCCAGGAATATGTTGAGCTTCAGTTCCTGTGCTAAGCCCAGGATCTGTGGGAACAGGCCCCTGCTCCCAGCTGGCCCTTGGCCGGCGTGGAGGTCACAGGCCAGCAGGGGGAAATGATAATGCAGTTAGGGAGGTGTTTGTTGGGGGACCTCCCTAACTGCATTATCTCCCTCTGCTGGCCTATGAATAGTAAGTGCTACAGCAGTTAGGGGCTGGCGGTTAAGGCTAAGGGTGTGGACGTCTTAGGAAGCTGGTAGGGAGGGATGGGGGCTGGGAGAGTTAACGCAGAGGTAAGGGCTGAGTTTCATCTAAGGGAACAGGTAGGCGACAGAGCAAGTTTAGGAATGGAACTCAGTGAGATGATGTTGCTGGAACATATGCTGGGGCTTGGCGGGAATGGAGAACTGGTGAGAGACAGCAAGAAGTCTTCAGGCAGCCTGAGGAGCCTGGGAGGGCATTTGGCCTATCCTGAGGGCCGCATGGAGCCATTGAAGGAATTTTTAAAAATAAGATGCAAAATATTCACGGTGAAAAAATTAAACTACACGCACTTCAAAAGGATGATGAAGTCAACTGCCACCTTAAGCTCTCACTTCTCCCCAGAGGCCACCACTCCTACTCATTGCTTATGTGTCTCTGAATTTTTCACATGTACACATATATCTTCCCATGGTTTAAAATTGTTTTTTGCTGTTCTGCTAACAAGCTGCCGCTGTTCCAGTGTTTTTTGCTTGTATTATCCCATCTTACCTGACAGCTATGCTGTACTGTGTACTAAACAATACAACAAGCCTCGACTGCCCATTTTCTAATAAGGAAAGAGGTCCTGAGGAGGAGGAGGCCAACCTGGCTGGCTTGGCTCCAAATCCTGCACCTTTAACATTGACCGTACACGGCAGTCCACGTAAGTGGTCTTCTTAATGGTGGCATAGAATTCCATTATTGATTTGTTTAATGGGGTTCTGCCATCGTGAACAATGCTGCAGTAAATCGCCTGGACTCTCTTGGGGGACACCTGTAGGATGAATGCCGACTGTTAGGATGGTGATAGGGACACATTTATACTTCAGGATGATAGTGATTCACAAAGCTGAGGTGTCCCCCTACCTGACCTGCTCCCAAAGTGTGAGGAGACCTTCATCCTTCCTGAGTCAACTCCTCCAACCTAATGAGTCCTCGGAGCACTCAAGCCCTATGCCTCTGAATGCCTCCTGGATCTTGGGCTCTAACCATTTACAGTGATGTCCAGAGTCTATGTAAATCCAGCTACCTGATCTGAAAAAGTAGAGGGAGAGTTGGGCAGGAGTATGGGCGTCTTCCACGCAAGTGGAGTATGTGCCTTAAACCTGTGGGACCGGCACTGAAGACAGCTTGGTGCCTTTGGTCCCAGGTCCAGTGGCTGCACTGAGCCCAGGAGGAACCTGCAGAGGACTAGCCTGTTTACAGCGCAGGATCAGGTGACCCTGGGACCTCCTCGAGGGAGGGGTGGGGAAAGACTAGGCTGAATTGGAGTCACTATATTTGATCTGAGGAATGTAGTGGAGTCACAAATATTGCTCTGGTCTGAATGTTTGTGTGCCCGCAAAATTCATACATTGAAATGTAATACCCAATGTGATGGTACTTGGAGGTGGGTCCTTTAGGAGGTGACTAGGTCATAAGCCCTCACGAATGGGATTAAAGCCCTTTATAAAAGAGGCCTGTCTTCTTTTATAAGAACTCTTATAAAAGAGCTCTCTCATCCTGTGAGGACAGAGCGAGAAGGTACTGGCTGTGAGAAGGAAGATGGACCTCACCAGAACTTGACCATGCTGGTGCCTTGATCTTAGACTTCCAACTTCCATAACTGGGAGAAATGCATTTCTGTTGTCTACAAGACACCCAGTCAGTCTGTGGTATTTTGTTATAGTGGCTCAGTTGGATTAAGATATGTGCACTAATAACTTTCTGGAATTCAACTGTATGCTTTCAGGCTCAATGAATAACCATCTTGCAAGACATTCCATTGGCTCACTTTACTCAATGGGCTCTGCCTCAGAGACGTCATGGGAGGGGCCCCCAAAATCTGCTGTTCCCTCAGGTGGCCTTGAGTCTCCTCCTGGCTTTTATACTGTGATTAAAGATACCCTAACTGCTGTATCAAAGTTCAAGATGTGTAGTGGCTCCAACATGATAGAAGTTTATCTTTAACTTACGCTAGGTCCTACTCAGGTGCTCCTGACTGTGAAGTAGCTCTCCTGACACAGATTTAGGGACCAAGGCTCTTCCCATTTTACAGCTCCACAATTTTCGACACAACTTCTAAGAGTGTTCGGCTTGCTTGTGTCATGCAGACAGGGGAGGTGTGTCGGAGGGGGACTCCGCAAGGCTGGCTTGTGTGGGAAGGCAAAGAATGGGCACATGCTACTTCCACTCACATTCCATGAGCTACAACTCAGTCATGTGGCTACATCTGTGTGCAAGGGAGTTTGGGAAATAATGAGTTGCGGGCCCACAAAGAAGAGAAAATAGATTTGGTAAATAATCTCTTTCCATGCTGAAAGTGATTTTTCTTTTTTTAAAACTATTTATTTATTTACTTACTTATTTATTTATTTATTTTTAGAGAGAGAAGAAGGGAGGGAGAAAGAAGGGGAGAAACATCCATTGGTCACCTCACGCACGCCCCCAACTGGGGGACCTGGCCCGCAACCCGGGCATGTGCCCCGACTGGGAATCGAACCAGTGACTATTCAGTTCACAGGCTGGCACACAATACTGAGCCACACCAGCCAGGGCTGATTTTTCTCTTAAAAATAGATTTTCCTTTGGTAAGTGATCTTAAGAAAATCCATTACTTTATCTGGTATTCAACCAAGAAAAGCCATGTGCTCCAATGCTGGAGAAAAAGAGGCTATGTTGAACTTCAACAGATCACACTGTTCTGTATTCCATGCTCAATTGAAGGGACCTTCAAGAATAAATCTGGTACCAGCAACTGACTGAGACTCTGGCTCCAGTGTGAGCTGTAACTCCACTGCATTTCTATCTAAGCCACCCAATCACCATACAACTGTGCTGAGCCCATCTTCATGCATACCTTAGAGTATCCTCTTACCTTACAGTATCTCACTTACCTTAGAGTATCTCACAGCTCTGTGAAGTGCATGTAGTAATCAGGATAAACTTGATTATGCTGTGGTAACAACCGCATCCCCCAAATCTCAGATATGTAATACAGCAAGTATTTATTTCTTGCTGCTACTGCATGTTCATTGTGGGTGAGCTGTGTCTCTGCTTCATGTCATTTTTCTCTCTGGGAACTAGGCTGATAAAGTGGTATATGGGGTATTGCAGGTCACCACAGAGAGGGGAAAAGAGAAGATAGTGATATCACTTCCCGTTGAACTTCATTGGCCAGAGGAAGTCATATGGCCAAGCCTGGTAGCCATTAGAGATTCACTCATGTGGAGACATCAATTCATTGATGGAAATGAGCCCAGACCTCAGGGGTGAGACCTGAGATAGAGAGATGGCTTTTGAAGTCAGTGACATAGAGATGATCTCAAGCTGTGGGACTGGCCAAGAATGTAGCTGAGTGAGGAAACAGGGCCCAGGGAGACTCACAATTTAGACTGAACAAAGGGAGTGGAGCTGGCCAAGGAAGCTGAGGAGCGGCCAGAGATGCAGAAAGAAGGGTGGGGAAGCCTGTGTCATGGGACCCAGTGTGGAAGAGAGGTGGCCGCTGTGCCGCATGATGGAAGAGGCTGAACAGGGAGAACTTAACCACTGGGTCTAGTGACAGGGACGTCATGGTGATGCTGATTTGAGCAGTTTCCATAAAGCATGGGGTGGAGATGAAAGCTAAAAGGAATGGCTTGAGGAGATTATGAGAAGTGAGGAATGGAAACTGAGGAATCTGGCCGTGGAGGAAAAGTAAAGGAGAAGTAGCAGCTGGAGGGAATGTGGGACTAAGGTAGGGTTTACTCATTGGCTCTGTATGGGAGTGAGTGGAACATGTTTATGTGCTGGTGACCACGATCCAGGAGAGGAGGAATTAACGGGAGGTGCAGGGAGGAAAGGCGAGGGATGCACAAGTGAACTCAGGACTTGAGAAGGATGGGGCCTAGAGCCCAGGGGAGGAACTAGGCTCCTTAGGAAGAGAGGGACGACAGAGGGTCCAGGTGCTGGCAGGTAGTTTGCTGGATTTGCTGCCAGGGGCGGGCCTTCCTGCCCAAATTACTTCTATTTTCTCAAAGAAGTGAGAGAAAGTGGGCAGGGATGTGGAAGGCTGTGAGGAGAGGCAGTGTAGAGTTGTTCTGAAGGGGATCTAGCGCAAGCTAGAGAAGTGTAGTTTCTTTGAAATTTGTTGCCATGAGTTTAAAATGAGATCACTCACTTTTTGTGAAGATGGCACCCAGAATGAAGAAGGAAGCCCCTGCCCTTCCCAAAGCCAAAGCCAAAGTAAAGGCCTTGAAGGCAAAGAAAGCAGCGCTGAAGGGCATCCACAGCCACAGAAAAAAGATCCACATGCCACCCACCTTCTGACCCTGAAGACACGGCGGCTCTGAGGGCAGCCTAAGTGTCCTTGGAGGAGCGGCCCCAGGAGAAATGAGAAACAAGCTTGACCACGATGCCATCACCAAGTTCCCCCTGACCACTGAGTCCGCCACGCGGGAGACAGAAGGTAACGGTACACTTGTGTTCATTGTGGAGGTCAAGGCTAACAAGCACCAGATCACAC